TTTACTTTCGCTGTTATTTCTCTCCTAAATCAGATTTTGGTTTTTGTATGATGTTCATGTGATTCTCGACTATCTTCATAACAAACCAAACCCTCGTCGTAATCCAAATCCATATTTCGGATGAATATATTCAATATGTGGTAAAACAGGTCCCTCTACTTCTTGTTTTGAGACTTTTCATCCTTGAAACAAAATCTTTTATTGTTACTATATACTATATTAGCCAATGATCAGTGCATCTATGAAGCAGAACATAAAGAAGAAACATATTACATTATAACATTGATTATTCCAATAATATTACATGAACACACTCTTAATTTCAGTTTCTCATACTATATTAGCAAATATGATATAATACAATGTTCAACCATTATTTTCTTCTAAAACTTAAAGAGTAAAAAAAAAAAAAAAAAAACTCTAACATATCAAGAAAGATCAATTCGTCACAGAAAACTTGTATTCACAAAACTTTGGTGGAACAGCAAAGCCATTACTTGAATTAAAGGCACTTAATGTGTTGCAACTAAAATATTGTAATTATATAATAAAATATTGTAATTATATAATAGATAAACTAGGATCCTAATATATGGTAAGTTCCCTTTGTTAAGGTAACACCTCTCTCTCTCCCTCTATCTCATGCATATGGTTTTGAAAACCGCTTCGGACCAGCCGGTTTTTTTAGACCGAAAACCGTTTGTTTTTGAACCAGTGTTAAACCGGACGGTTCGTTTAAAACGTGTTAAATCGGTGAGGTCGAAACTGCTAAGTAACCGGTTTTTCTTTAACTATTGGCCCCTTGTCCAATCACTATCATTATATGGAGGATCAAACCAGCAATGTGGGACAACTCCTAGTTTAGACGTAAAAGGAAATTGACAATCCTTTTATAGAAGATTAAATGGGTGTAGGTTTTATCAAGTGATCGATGTGAGATAGAAGAAATTGCTAGCAAATTAAAATAACAACATGTGAAGACAAGTTTCGAAACAGGGACTTCACTTTATTTCAGATATCCTTAACAACTTAACCATTTCCCCAAGAAGCTACATGTTATAAAATGGGCAAGAATATATTTTTGAAATATAATTATCAACATTATTCATATCGTCATCTTAATTATTTAGGATAATAGTTAATAATAGTTTTTTTAATATATATAATATATATATATATATATATATATATATATATATATATATATATATATATATCCGGTTTTTTTGACCGGTCTCCAGTTGAACCATCGAAGCGATAAGATTACCGGTTTGATGTTCGGTCTGGTTTTCAAAACCTTGCTCATGCATATATTCAGGGATTAGATTCTGTAGCATTAAGGTTACCCGGTATGGGAGCGTTTTCATGCGTCTTGGGCTGTGGTGGCACGTCTCCCCACACGTAAACACTGTTCCCAAGTCCGGTGGGGTGCGCGCAGTGGCGGAGCCAATGCATTACTAGTTGGGTGCATGGACCCCACTTAAATGTAGTTCCCACCAATTATATACATAAAAAAATAAAAAATAGAAAATTTTCAAGTGCATGATCCCCACTGAAAATTCATATGCACCCACTTACCTCTCATTTGAATGCTCAAAAGCATAGCAGCTTATTTTTTTCTGTTTAATCTTCACCAATATAACCCCTCTTCTTTCATCTTTCTTAAATATAGTCGCTCTTTTATCATGTTTTTACTACCATTAGATTGGTAAAGAGACTGGGTCAACGGTCAACAGTGCACCCCACTTGAGTTTTAGGTTAGATCCGCCACTGGGTGCGCGCGATGTGGCTCCGGAGACGGGAGAAGATGGAGCTTCCTATTGGCTTGCTTCTTTTTTGACCCTTTGCCCCTTAATTTTGTTGGTGCCCCTTAATTTTGTTGGTTTTTCTTTTAATCATCAAAGTAGAAAAAAAAAAAAAAAAATAAAAGTGGGGGATATACACGTTTTCCAAAAATCGGGTGAAGAAGACAACCAACCCTAAACGGGTGGACATTAGATATGTTTTAATGGAAGTTACGAATTTAGTCCTTGAGATTCTATCATTTAATCGTATTATATCCTTTCACTTTTATTTGAATTAAGTTAAACCATTAACTACATATAATTATAATAATGTTTATTTAATTTTAAAAATTAATAATATGTTTATTTGATTTTTTAATTAGTAAAATGATTACTTAAGTTTATAATAATATTTTTTTATTTAATCTAATGTTTTAAAATTAAAAAAAAAAAAAATTTAAATAATGTGGAGTGGTAACCATTTCCAATCTTTAGTGCGTTGGTAATGGGTTGAGTGTGAAGCTAACATGATGAACATGTGGCAACATTTTTCCGGTAGGATGGGTGTGACCACTACCCATAGCCTAACATTCAACCCATGGTTGGCTATTGGAAATGAAACTTGTATTAAAGAAGGAATGTCATTCCTTGAAAATGCGTCTTTTTCATTTCGGCTACCCCTGTATTATTTCACTCCTTTCAGCGAGGAATGTAAACTACCAATTTTGTCCTCTAGTACCGCTACTTTGAATCAATTAAAATCCTAATCAAATCGCTAGAAAAATATCTATTTAAAATAGACTGATAATCGATTCCTAATTTAGAAGGAATCAAAATTTCGAAATCAGGTTCAATAGTGGAAGAAATTCCTTCAATGGTTCGTTATTTTTGGAGTTGAAGTGTTCAAGAACAATGAAGTTTATATGATTTTCAAGGTATTTAATCGTTTCTTTTCACATTTTCATCGTCATTTAGTCACTTGCACAGATCTTTTTCTTGGACAAGTATGTGCATATTGAGTGTTCCATAAAATGTCTAAATGAAATGAATTCAGGTCTGGTTTTTTTTATCTTACATTAGCCAAAACAACAATCTTTGGTTACTAGGTTAGCATCAGCCTTTTTTTTTTTTTTTTTTTGTAATTTATGTTTAATCAGATACTGCTATAAGTTTTATGAAACAAAAGGTTTGAAGTATGTTTTTATTATCAAACATTGATCTATATATAATATTATTCATGTTAATGTGATAATTGTAGTTATTTGTTTATCAAATATGAATTCAATGTATTAATTCTTATTTTATTATTCTTTTCCTTTACTCTATATCTTGTTCTAAGTTAGGGAAATCAGGTCTGGACACAATGTAGCTGGTTTTGATTGGAACTTCAATTTGCTTTGCATTTAATAGTTTTAAGGATTTTATTTAATCAAAATTTTTGTTTAATACAAATAATTTCATGTGATTATTTTGTGCTTGTAACTTCTCCTGACATGGTTTCTTGGGTATTTTAGGTGTTGATGGTGGTTGCTTCAAAGACTGGAGTCATGATCTTGTTGCATGCAAGGTTAGACTCGTAAATATCATTGATACATAATATTGTAACTCGAAAAGATTTCAATCATGTATGGAAATAGCACCCAACTTTCCATGGTCTTTAATTTTTATCGAAAGATTTCCATCAATTTTAGTTTCACTATCTTATGGTGAATACAAGTTTTTTTTTTCTTTTCGGGAATTGAAATTCTTTTAGTTGGATTTGCGAAAGCAGAAGGATTAGAAAATAGAATGTATAAATCCTCTTTCTTACCTAGTTACCTTTGCGTTAATGTCAAACCATTGCTAGTTATCATGTTTACCTGTTATTTAATTAAAGGGGTGTTTGTATAAGTTTATTATTTTGGGCTTAAGCTTATGAGCTTAAGAGTTTATGAACTTATAAGATAAAAAAAAAAAAAGGTTTTGATTAGCTTATGACTAATATACTAATAAGCTCTTTTAAAAATAGTGTTTGGATTATCTTATTTTTGTAAAATAACTAATAAGAACATACTTAAATGGTTTCATTATACAATAAAGTTATGTACTGTTGGGAAAAAATTATTTATTGTTGAGGATAAATAGGTAAATATATACAAATAAACCAATCCTCACGAAAAAAAAAAAAAAAAAAAAAAAAAAAAAAAAAAAGGCTTATTTTTAGGTAAAATAAGCTCCTAGGCTTAGAGGGTGGTAGTTTTATAGCTTATTTTCAAGGGTTTTTCTTATTTTTTGGGCTTATGAAAAAATTAGTGTTTGAGTTAGCTTATTAGATTAAACTTATAAGTTCATTTTACCTAAAAATAAGTCAATTTTCATAAACCACATGAAAACAACTTTTTTTTAAAGGGTTGGTTTATTTGTATACATTTATCTATTTACCCTCAACCATAAATAACTATTTTTTCCACAAAAGTACATAACTTTATTGTATAATTTTATCCAAACACTATTTTTAAAAAAATAAGCTATCCAAACACTGTTTTTAAAAGAGCTTATTAGCATATAAATCATAAGTCAATCCAAATACTTTTTTATCTTATAAACTCATTAAAATAAGCTCACACAAACACCACCTTAATCTGATAAGCTCACACAACCACCACCTTAATCTGATAAGCTAACACAAACACAACTTTTTTTCATAAGCCCAAAAAATAAGCTAAAACAACAAAACCCCTAAATTGAATGTGTGATTCATGTAATTGAACATGTTTTATTCTTTCGTTTCTGCTTCGTAGATGCAATATAGTTCAAATTAAAAAGCAAGAATGTGCGAATAGAATGAGAATCACTTTAGTTATGGTTTAAAATGAGAAATAAATCACAAATACCACGCGCAAATCAAATATTACAAGCATAGCTTCCAACGTGTTTCTTCCCACATCCATAATAAAAATGATTCCCACATCTACAATAATTAAGAGACCAGTGATCAGTAACCTGAATAATCAATCCTATTCAATGGAAACAAAAAGCAAAATTTGTAATATATTAATTAACCTGCAAGAAATGCGATGACAACCGCTTAGTTTTTCCACATAAAAGTTGCAGTTCGGGCATCTCTTCCATTTTTTGTTCTCGGCAAACTCCATTAACATTAAATATTCTGGATTTCTTTCATATTCCTTTAACCTCGTATACTCTCTGCAATCCATCCCTGAATGCCATGCCACCTTACACTGTGCACAGAACAATCTGTTGCAGTTTGGGCATTAATGCCGATGTCACAGCTACACCACCATCATCCACCAACATGGCTGAACAATCTTTAAACGGGCAGTAGAATTTCTGAGTAGCCATGATCATAGACTCGCATAAAGCATCCTCCCATCTTTCAAGAACTTCTTTTGGGACTATATCTCGACAAACTTCAGGTCCTATTAGCCCTTTGCACATGGGGTCAGGACACTTCACCTTCGCGATGTTTTCTTTGATCTTCACAGATACATATTGGCTTATGCAAGCAGAGCAGAACAGATGGCCACAAACCTTTGCATTTGAAAAGATTTCTGGTAGAGCTTTTGAGTCCAAGCAAATGCCACAAATGCGCTCGTGTAATGATGATGATGATGCAACTTTTTGTGATGACGATGATACATTTGTTTTGGATGCTGAAGGTGTTAGAGCTTCTTGAAGTTGTAGTTCCTGTGTGTATTTCTCATCAGACATCATGAACATCTTATCCCCATCATCATGGGGAGCTGATAAGTTGAAATCATCTAAATCTATAATTTTATCTACATCTATGATGTGGTTTATAGCAGACGTTGAACTGCTAGCCATGTTCTTACGACTGATGCGCTTCTTTCTTGGCTGTAAAATTTTTATCATATTAGTGATTAATGCATAAATTAATAAGACCAAAAGATGTTACGAAACATGAAGGGTTTGTTAAAGAAGGGAATTTTGGAATTTTAACTTTGAAAGCATGTAATTAATAGCTTGATAACAATTTTCGCTTACTAATGAACTAATAACTTAGAAGAAATATAAAAGAAGAATTAATTACCTTTGCCTTCAAACAACTAACAAACTTCGACATTTGTTTTTGCTGCTATTTCCCTTGATCGAGTTTTCTATATTAGATTTTGGTTTGCTCCTGAGATGAAAAACGGTTGCGTGTGAGTCAAGTCACCGGTTATTGTATGATCTTCGATGTGATTCTTGGATCGCTTCGTAACAATGTAAAACACGTCGTAATCCAAATCTAGATTTCAGTTATATATATTCAACACATG